CTTCTCCTCTTCCTTCTTCTTCTGAAGAAAAGTTGTATTATCTTACAAAACAGCAACATGTTTCAATTAATAAGGGGGAGAAGAAATATAGAAGAAAGTTTAAGCACCAAGATGTTACTCTAATACATTGGAGTTTTCTGGCAACAGGGTATTATCGTGAATGTTATTACCAGAATGAGAAGGAATGAAGGCTTTCAAATCACTTAGAAATAGACAGTGTCGGTTCCAAGTTTTGATATTGAAGTTAAACTGGAATGTGCTGAGAGATGCAAGCATTGATCGTTGAATGCAGACACTGTACTTTCTCTCAGGTGGTGCAACAAGTTTGATCTTCATGCTGCAGGGAGTGAAGGCGGTGATTTTTTTGCTGATACGGTCAGCAATGCCAGGGAACATGATGGAACCATCACTGATGACAATGTTACGATACAGATCCTTCCTGATATCGAAATCACGCTCTATGATTGAGTTGTGGGTTGTCTTGTAAATTCCAGCAGCTTTCATTCCTATCAAAGAAGGCTGGTAGAGGACTTCCAGCTCCAATTGTAATAACCTGCCCATCAGGCTATTCGTAGTTCTTCTCAATAGATGAGCTGCTCTTGGTAGTCTCAAGCACCTACTTATAGTCAAGTGCCACGTAAGCAAACGTCTTGTTCTTGTCACGGACAATTTCCCTCACATCTGATGTGATGAACATGTAACCTCTTTTAGTGAGGATCTTCATATGATATTCTGTGAGATCACGACCAGCAAGGTTCAGATGAAGGATGGCATGGGCAAGAGCATACCCCTCATAAATGGGGACATTGTGACTCACATCATCACCAGAATCCAGCACAATACCTATCATGAATAGGAATCGGTAGAAAATTAAATGAAATTACTTCTGTGCATATTGAAGGGAGAACATTTAGATTCCAAGAACGACCACTTGCATAAAGAGAAAGAATGGCTTGGATAGCAACATGCATTGCTGGAATATTTAAAGTCTCAAACGTGCTGTTAACTTTGGGCTTGAGAGGTGCCTAAGTGAGAAGCACAGGATGCTCCTCAGGAGAAACACGAAGTTCATTGTAGAAAGCATGCCACATAGCAGGGGAAATGTTAGGTACAGATGGCTGCACTTACCACCATGGCGTAAGTGCATTTCACCACTGGCTTAAGATGAATGATGTACAAGCATAATATATAATGAAAGTGGTGACAATTGCACCTCTCCTAGACAATTTAGTATAAACCATCAAGTTAGCAATCTGAATCAAATACCAAGAATTTAAGGTAAACAAAAGTGCCAAATAAATTTAAAGTCTGCTAATAAAAAAATATCCTATAGCCTTGCAGAATACTACTGGTAAAATGTGAACTGAAAAATATATTGAAAAAGTCCATGCATACTCGGGAAAAGGGAATGGAGGGATGGAGAGGGTAAAGTACTTCAAATAAACTACAGAGGACTAAGATGACTAATTATAGATTACAAGTAAATTAAAATTATGTTGCATTTGGCATATCCGATATAAAACATTCCAATAATTGCAAATAAGATGACAAGGAGAATAAGCAATGCTAGTTGTGCGCCGTGCCAACAAGAGCAGAGAGTAAAACTAAACAAAGGGGAGTCCTAAATACATCTCCATGAACAAGTTTCCAACCAGACTCTTCATTGACATCTCTTTCCTAAACACAAAGACATTATATTCCCTTCAACGATGAATAGAAGAAATTATGTGGTGATGCGATTATTACCAGGGTTTCCAAATCATCATCCTCGCGAGCATACTTTGCATAATCATTTCGCATAGTTCGCATGAATATCATCACTTAAGTTGGAACTCAAGGCCTAAGCCTTTTTAAAACAATGCAACCAAAAAATAAAAATAAAAAACTTGAACTGCATAAAAAACTGCATAGTTTACTGAATTGAAAACGAAATTTATGTTAAAAAGAAGAGCCACATTTTCCAAAGGTTACTAATGTGGGTTTGCAGAGAGAACACTTCTCTTGAAGGGTGTGAATATTGCTGAATAAACTGATGGCAGTCCATAAATTAAATTATTCATTTTTAACCTCCTATTTTGCTGCCTAATAATCAGAGGAATACCAACATAATTTGAAGATGCCTTCGAACTCATAGCATCACTTTGGTTAACTAACAAATAGGTTCCAAAATGTCCTGAAGTCACAAGAATTAGCTATTCAAGATATATATATATACCCATCAATTCCTGGTGGTTAACTGACACTATGCACATTATGATGCGATTAGAACCTCAAAATTAGAGTAAATACCCATCAATTGTAGGCATAATATGATTTCCCGTCATAAGAACAATATTCACATTAGCAGCAATTAAATCCTTAATAAACTCCAATACCTAATTAAATTCATTCTTTTTAAGCCCAAAAAACTTTCATGTAATGAAAATTAATCCTTAAAATAAATTTATTTGTGCTAGTCCTTGTACTTTGAATTTTGTCATTTTTTCGCTATTTTGTACTCTTTTCTTCAATTCTTCATTAAATATAAAGTTTTACCTACAAAATACAATTTAACATAAATTAGGTAAAATTTAATTCAAAAGACAATAAAATATCATGATTTAGAGTTTCGAATAAGTGTAAAAATTACACTTTTCATTAAATATAAAGTTTTACCTAGAAAATATAATATAACATAAATTAGATATAATTTTATTTAAAAGATAATAAAATATCATAATTTAGAGTCTCGAATAAGTATAAAAATTACACTTATCAATATGGAAACCTGTAATGAAGAGATAAGTGAAATAAAAACAGGGAAAATTAGCAACAAAGAATGAAGGAACTGTGACCTGCTGGCCCCCATGTCCATCATAAACTCCAAAGAAGTGGGCTTTTAAATCTTGATGCCTGACATTCATAATTGGTCTATGAGTCAACAGTGGAGAAGGGATGGTCAAGAACCGAGGTAAAGCTATGACAGTATCTTCCATCTCCGGCCTCCTTCCACAGACAGATGTGAATCCCCAAAGTGGAGGAAAATTCAAATTCGTCTTCACTTCCTCAGGAACCTCAAGAAGGGAAGCAGAAAATGTCATTTTTGATACGTTAATTCCTCTAGCCTCACAATTTTCTTCAGTAGAAATGAGATCATTGATTATCTCTGGCTTCATATTTGATTCCCATGAAACAAGTTTCTTAATGCCATGAGTAACATCACTGTTTTCATCTATGGGATTGTGAACTTGTACTCACTAACCTGCAATAACAGCCAAAAAAAAAATCATAAATCCAGAGTCAAACACAAGCCTACAGGGTGAGATTGTACTTTGTAGATAACTTGTTTAATAGTAACAAGAAGTGTCTTAGCTGCATGGCACTCACTGGATGTACAAACAAGAAACAAAATTCTCTAATAAGAAATTAGTTCTCTTATGTGCAACAAATATGGACTTCACATCGTTCCACCTATGGATATAGACTACAGAAATGAAACTACATTTTCCTTACTCTGTTTTATCTTGTGAGCTAGATGAAGAGGGTCACCGGTCATGTACATTTTGACTTATGGTAGAGGATTTAGATAGATCATCCATAGGATGTTGACCCAGGTTTCGAGATAGTTGTTCGACCTGTTGACTTAAGTTGCGGACGAGAAGTTTAAGCTCAGCCAAGTCAGATTTCATAGACGTCATGTCACTCGAGAGATTGACAATCTAATGTAATAGGACATAACATCTTCACAATATGTTTGTTTAGTGATTGATACGGGGAACTAATACAAACAGCTGGAAGAAACACTTAAATAAAAGTAAGTCTTCAAAATAACGCAAGGATAATCCTTGCCAAACACAAGCAAGTCCCCAATGGTGTCCTTTCACAGTCGACAATGTGGCAGCGCAGAGAAGAGGTTCACGACACAGGAGGCATGGGCAAGATAACGATAGAATGTCTGATCACAGAAGAATGTAGCAGGTATGGTTGCTGGCTTCAGATGGTCAATTTGTGGTGGGATATTCGACGGAAGAACCTGACGATAGTGATGACAGTAGGACTGATGGATCACGATCACTGGAGATGAGTGCATAGGCGAACTGATGTAAAGCAAATTATGCTGAAACACAATATAATGCCACTTCAATTCTATTAACCACTTCAGAAGCAGTGTGTTGTGAACTAGTAATACAGCTAGATTGGGTCTCTTTTGTTGTTCATTACCAAGATAGTGTATAATAAATTAGAAACAGGACACTATGTGGATCTCTTCAAACTAAACGTTAGTTTAGTTAACAATGAAAGCAATATAAATGTATTGAAAGGTTAAATGTTGCTTAGATTCTACCACTTAGAGGTCTAGAGATATATGCAATAGAGTCTCTTTTTTATATTTACCTTTGAAGCATTCTGAACAAGTGCACTCTTTAACTAAAAGTAGAGTTTTTCCAATCACCCAAAAATATAACAATAATGGAAAAATCTCCTAGTTTATAGAAGGCTTCCTACCCTGGTTTAATTCTATATATGAAAGTCACAACATGTAAGTAACAGTAAACATTTAACAGTTAGATACCAAGATGCACTTCATAAATTTGGGGAGCCAAAGTTGGGAAAACAAGATTTAAACGGGATATGAGTGAGCTACAGACAGGGAAAAAAAAATGAAACTCAAAATATTAACTCATCCCAACCTCAAATAAATATTGCCTTGATAATAGACAAAATTGACCCTCATTTTCCCTTTTGATGCGAAAAATCCGATGATCGTAAACACCTCTTAACCAACGTACACACGCACGTACTCAAATGCAAGGAAACCAATTTTTTTTTTAATATGCTGTCAATGAACACAGAATGTATTTCTTCATTTCTCTAAAAACTGGAAGTGTGGGGCCTATTTATGGATTCTTTGAACCGAAAATACCCTATTGAGATATTTTCCCTGTTCTTACACCAGTACACCGCCTCTCTGATTTGTTACATGTAAAACCTCAAATCACATAAAATTACCACCTGCATATAACTCCATTTCTACTCCCACGTCACTTTTCAGCCTTCATTTGTGCAACAAATTCAAGGATATTAAGAATACATTGAATCTTGATTCAAACTTCAAACAGAAGTTTCTGGGCAGCTTGTTGAAAAATCTTCAAGTTTTGCCTTCGAAATGTTGGCTGCTTTTGGAATATCAATCNAAGGTATTTTATAATTGCTATCTATGTGTCATTTATTTTCTTAAAATGAAAACTGAATCATATCTAAACATGAGTAGGAAATGTAACTTTGAAAAAAAATTTAAAATAAATACACACACACACACACACACACATATATATATATATATATATATATATATATAGATCATAGAGGAGTCAATTATTCGCTGTAAGCTAAAGAAATCAACCAACAAAACCAGCAGAAAATAAAATTATGAAACATGATCAAATATGAACGGAAATCCAAAATAATCATCTACCATAAATTCTTGACTAATATATCAAAGGTAAATTAAACAAAAGAATAGTAATGAATAAACTGAGCTGGTACTCGTTTCTTACACTCACCAGATACAATTGAGGGGTAGAGAGTTACAGTTAAATATGGAGAAAAATGGGGAGGAATTGTAAAATCAAAAACCGCTTCCACCCAAATTGAAAGAAAATCAAAAAACCTTTATATTTGCTCTCTCGAACAAAACTCCCCTCTTCCCAAAATCCTCATTCGCTTATGATTGTCCTACGCAAGTGAAGACGGAGGTAGGGTTTGAGAGTTTTGTTTTTCAACACAAGGTGGGCAAACAGAAATGAAATCAAAAAACAACACGAGCGCGACAAGGTTTGAGAATTTTGTTTCTGCAGAAAGTAAAACACAAGGCACAAGTGGGAAGTTTTGATTTTGCAGAGGGGTTTCCTCGTTTCGTTTCACTAGTAGAAAGGTTTTGATTTTTGCAGGGAGAATTCTTCGTTTGGAGAAGAGTGATAAACAACGAACCGACGTCGTCTTGGTTGACGATCCAACTCGTTGACAAGTGTCCAATGAGCAGAGTTAGAAAAGTGGCTCTTTTAAAATTGTTAGGATTAGGATTAGGATTAGGAAGAAGAAATTAGGTTTAGGTTTGTGGTGTAATTATAATGTGATGTGATTAATTAAAAGTATATTAACCCTAATTATGTAATTTTACTTAAGGCTATTTAAGTAAATACGAAAAAAATTAAAAATTGTGGTGTACTTAATAAATTTTGTGGTGGTAATATAATTAACTTCTTATTTATTTTGCTTATTTGTGGTGGTAATTTTACTTTTTGCAAAGTTCAGTGACGAATGGGTGATTTTTAAAGTTCAGTGACGGACGAGATTGCAGTTTCGAAAGTTCAATGACTAACCACGTAGTTTTTAAAGTTCAGTGACCTGACGAAAACTTATGGTAAAGTTCAGTGACTATTAGGGTAATCCCTGACAAAGTCGATTGTGTCATCTTACATCAAATACAAATTCACATCATCGCGTACCGTATACACTCCAAATGATATACGTAATGACATATTGCATACATATGGAATATCTTTGAACTATGTGAAGGCTTGGAGATCTAGTGAAGAAACTTTGAAAATGATTAGAGGTGACTCAACAGATTCGTTTAGTCAGATCCCGAGATTCTTTTCCATGTTGCAGCAAACAAATCCTGGGACAGTCATAGGAATACAGTTTGATGGTCACAATAGGTTCAAATATTGCTTCATAGCATTTGGCGCTTCAATTCAGGGATAGAAACATTGTAGGCCTGTTGTTTTGGTCGATGACACGTATCTAAATAGACATTATGGCGAGACTCTGTTCACGATATGTACACATAATGCAAATAACAACATAATTATACTTGCTTTCGGGATTGGTGATAATGAGACCGACAGATCTTGGTCGTGGTTTTTCGAAAACTTGAGGAAGGCATATGGGGATAGAGAAGGGTTGTGTTTTATATCGGATCGGCATTATATCAGATCGTCACAATAGTATCAAAAACGCTATTGACAATGTATATCCTGGAATATGTCATGGGATCTATTCATATCATCTCCTACAGAATCTGAAAACACGATATGGAAGATCGGGTTACAACATAACGTAAGCATTCAACTTAGCCGTTCGCGCTTACACCTTATCGGAATACGAATATCACATGCAAGAACTCGATGCAATTAATAAAAAGATCAGGGGTTACCTAGTAATATAATACATTTTATTTGCAATCTACATTTGTATACTGTATCGTTCTATTGTAAAGAATGTGACTAGCTCATCAAGTTTTTATTGTAGCCTGAAAAATGGTCACGATTGCACATGCCCACGAACAGATATTCCATAATGACATCGAATATAGTAGAGACAGTTAATGCGGTCACAAAGTGTGCTAAGAACTACCCTGTCATAGTGTTGTTGGAGTCATTGCGTGAAACTACACAATTTTGGTTCTCCAAACATAGGCAGACCGCAAAGCACTTTCACAACCTTGTCGAGTAAGTACGAGAAACAGTGAAGGGAAATGAGCACAGATATGAGAAACTTGAGTACCCTATGTTTGTGACCTTGCACATCTGACCTGCGACCTAATACATCTTTATCTTCGTTTCTGCAACTTGTTATTGACGTGACTTTGATTATTCATTGCAGGTTTCTCGTGTAAATGATGCAACATTTTCAGTTACTTGTGAAAGTACATCTTTCGTTGTTGATGTAGAACAACGTACTTGCACATGTAGGATGCTTCAAGTTGATCAACTATCGTGTTCACATATATTAGCTGTCATTGCAAGTATGAAGATGGAACCATATGAGTTCTGTTCATACTATTACACAAGAGAAAGATGGAACCATATGAGTTCTGTTCATACTATTACACAAGAGAAGCATACCAGCATGCTTATCAAGGAAGCATTTTCCCTGTTGGAGCTCCAAATGAATGGACAGTCCCAGAAGATATTCAGGAAANTGCCCAAAGAATTATGGGACAATGTTGTATTAGTACCTAATCAAAAGAGAAGTTATGGAAGGCCTACCGAGAAGAGATTCAGATCAGCATGTGAAGCGAGTATAACTATCAAATGCGGACGATGTGGTGAAAGTAGTCACAATAGTAGAACTTGAACCAGCTTGGTTCCGTTAAGTCACAGTCAATTGA